CATATAATCGTAGTCGAGGATTCGTGGAGTCATGATACATCACAAACTCTTCATTGACGACCATCCATTACTGATAAAGAGCTCATGTGGAGTCATGACACACCTATTCCATCTCACCGTGGTCGACTAACAGCGAATTAGAGTGTATCTAGTACTCGTGCAGTCATGATACATCTTCAACTCTTCATAGACGACTATCAGTGATTTGTAAGAGTGTATCTAGTACTCGTGCAGTCATGGTACATCTTCAACTCATCATAGACGACGATCAGTGATTTGTAAGAGTGTATCTAGTACTCGTGCAGTCATGGTACATCTCCAACTCTCCATAGACGACTATCAGTGATTTGTAAGAGTGTATCTAGTACTCGTGCAGTCATGGTACATCTCCAACTCTCCATAGACGACTATCAGTGATTTGTAAGAGTGTATCTAGTACTCGTGCAGTCATGGTACATCTTCAACTCTTCATAGACGACTATCAGTGATTTGTAAGAGTGTATCTAGTACTCGTGCAGTCATGGTACATCTTCAACTCTTCATAGACGACTATCAGTGATTTGTAAGAGTGTATCTAGTACTCGTGCAGTCATGGTACATCTTCAACTCTTCATAGACGACTATCAGTGATTTGTAAGAGTGTATCTCCAAACTATAAAAAAGGTTATATGCGGAGCAGAATTATTCGCTCTACGTGTACGTACTATTCGTGCGTTCGCGTGTGCACGTACCACTCGTGCGCAGCGGGCGTGGGTGCCGTGTGCGTGTGGCAGCGTCACTGTCGTGCGCGTGGTGTCGCTCTGCAACTTACACGGTGGTGGTCTGCGTGCGTGTGGCACGTACACATGCGCGGTTGCGTGTGCACTTTTATCAACCCTCTTTGATCGCCACACACCCGGATTTCAAAAATCTGCAGTTCTGGGTCCACTTGGGCCCCCCACGGCTGTTTTCGTGATCAGCGGCATGGTCCTTGGCCATTTCTTTTTCGCTAGGATCTTCCCTCTCGTGCCCTTTGGAAGCATAATCGCGCGATTAAAGTTATCCCAAACGATAGTCTTGTAGTGCTCGGTGAAAAAAGCTACGCCAGACATACCAGCCTAGCCACGCACAGTACATACCGCTTGCTGGTCATACGTCTGATATTACCACGGGGTATGAAACGATTTCACGGCTGCCTGAACGCAACCGGCATCTCTTTTCGTCGTATCATAGACCACGCTGGCCATCTGTATTTCTCCTCCTGCGATTGTACGTTTGGAAAGTGAGGCGAGCGCCGTCCAAATACTTGCCACACCAATACCTCTATGGTTAGTAGTATACATTGATAATTTATGTAACCGTGACTATAGCTTCATCATATATTTGTATCACTGCTTCAAGTAACCTACAGGCATGCGATGTGGTTGCGGATGAAATACCTCGCTATGAGAGCGTACAATAACTGATCCTGAGTTGGCGGTTCATGTTCTGGTACATGAACCGCTTTGTTTACTACGTGTCACAGCCGTGTAAGCTCGAGTCGGGTGAGAGGGCATGGGTTGGGTGGTCTCATTGTTTTTACAGAAATGATTTGTAACTAGCCTGTAGGGCTAGCATGCTTGAAGGGTGTATAACGTTCGGTTAATGTGGGGCGAGTTAGTATATAGCTCTTTAGGATCTTGGATGTAGAAGACGCTGCCGCCGTAAAATCCGATGGGAATGGGGGACGGTGAGGACGCGGGAATGGATATAACATAGTCCCCCGCCGGACTTACTGCTATGGAATCTATCTCAGTCTTCTGATGATTTACTAGTCTCGGGAGCTAACTGAACTAGCGTTAGTGCTCGAATGCCCTGATCAGGCCTAGTTTAAATTAAGAGTTTTTATCCTCCATCGTAACTTTCGCATATGTGAACTAGTACCCGGAGGGCTGCGAATTAAGCGACGAGAAAGGCGGGCAATTTTTTGTATACGGCCTGTGAGAAAATCACCTTGAATTTTCTCTAAAAATGGACAGGGCCAACCAAATGGGGTATTTTATAGAAGCACCAAGGCAACTCATCAAATTTGAGAAAGGCAACAAAGGCATTTGTAAAATAAAAGAAAACTTATAACAAATTCAGTACATCAACATCGTCTTGGCTTTTAATGTACAAAACAATATGCCCCCATGTAAGCTTACAACCGTAACATCTGACCCCTGTACCACCCCTCATGCTGAATGGAAGTAACAGTAACAACGAAATTTTACATGCCCCGCTAATCAGGAGCGATATAATTAATCCGATGCTGTTATTATTCCCTCCTGTCGACCTGTCGGTTTTAAGCTCAATGCATTGCAGCTAACAGCACGCACAGCGCATGTTTATGATTGACGGGTCGACTAAAAAAGACTTGAGTAATGAATATCAGGGGCCAAATTGGATTTTCAGGTGACCGGTGCTACATTCTATTAAATAATTTATTTGTATCCTAACAGGGGTAGGGGAATGTTGTCTGTAGTTAGTGGGACAAGGAGTAATGTTGGGCGGTGGCGAACTAGGGGAGCAGTATGAGCTTCAAGAGGTATATCTGACGAACAACATAGGGAGAGAGAGTGAACCAGGGATGAAGATCCGGCGTGAGCGAGTTAGGGATAGTGAGTAGTTTGCGCAGAATTGTAAAAGCGTTTTATAAATTCCTCTGCCAGTATCGTTTATTAAGGTTAGCGAGAGCGCGATGGTGCATTAATGGGTAATGTCCAATCGGAGATATAGGTGATACTGAGTGGCCCATCATTCAAATGTCATGTGACTGTCATCTGAACTTCTGATGAATCAGAATCAATTTCTGACATGGGGTCAGACGCCATTCAGAGTCTGGGAGGTGGCAGAGCTGCTGGTCTATTTTTCAGCATCCCTAAACACCACGCCCCGCTACATCCAGCGCGTGAGACGTCTTGCTGGCTAGTCTGGGTCTCGCGCTACAGTGTGTAATCATCACCTACACCTCACAGCCTCCTGTCTCTACAGTTTGTAATCATCGCCTACCGGGACCCCGGCCGCAGTCGAGCCTCTGTCTAGAATATTTGAGAGGCGAGTATTGATGAGATGTCGATGTGGATTTAACATGAAACCGAGGCGAATCAT